TCGTCTTCTCTGAGGTCCAACACTGGTCTTCTCTGAGGTCCAACACTGGTCTTCTCCGGGGCATTCTTACCGGGGCATTCAAAACACATACAGGATCAATATTAGTAGAAATGGGTGAACCACCATTTAACATCAGAAAAGATCAATTGGCTTTAAACTACTGGGCAAATCTGAAAGAACATGAACAGAACCATCCAACACAAGAAGTATTAAAACCTTGCTGGGACAAAGAAAAGAAACTCACAAAAAGCTTTGGTTGGACCATAAATCAAAAATCAGCAGAAATTCAAATAGATGATCTTAATGTCAGCGCAACAGTTCCACTTCCACACATCCATCCATGATTATTCACAGACACAACAGTTGATTTAAAAATATTAACACAAAATAAAAATGGATTAAATTCAAATACAGTTATTGAGTACATCAATCAATATTATGGATATGTAAAAATATATACACAGACACTTCAAAGAATACAGCAGAACAAATAGGGTCAGCATTCATTACACCACAGTTTTTGTAGTTAAAGTAGGGAAGAGATTAAACAACAAATTATCAGAATACACGGGAGAAATGTTCACAATGTTACCGATAGATCAATGGATAGAAGATAATCAACCACTCGGCTCAATCATTTGCTCAGCTTCCAGTTCATCAGAAATGAGTTTAAAAAGCAGTTGTTCAGAAAGCAGACCAGACGTATTGACAGAAATACAGCAAACACTATTCAGAGTTAAGATGATGGATTAACTGTTACATTGAATGGATTCCAGCGCACATAGACAAGACGAAATGAAACGGTGGATAAAGTTGCAAAGTAGGTCACCAAAAATATATCAGTGGAAATCGATTTAAAATTCAGTCGGGCAGAAATAAAAAGTATCATGAAACAGAGAATGAGGGGAAAATGGCAAAAGCAATGGGAAGAAAGAAAAGGTTGATGGTTCTACAGAATTCAATGAAAAGCAGGAGAAATGAGGAGAGCTGAAAGAAACAGAAGGAAGTGTCATCTCATGGCTCAGATTAGGACACACAGGATTGAACTGGACATTATTCATGAACACCAGTAATGTGATTACTGTGGGGAACATGGAACATGTGCTACTGACCTGCAAGAACTATCATGAACAGCAAAGTCCCTGCTCAATAATCCACGTGTACAATCCTGAAAGAAGACACATGATTCATAGACTCACTGGAATAAACATCAGATTAGATCCTGTGCTGTTGCAAGGAAACAACTTCTGCAAGTACCAACATGTTGTTGAGAAATCTGAAACGGACTCAGCTGTTTGAAAGAACATGACTGTTATTTATCTATGGATTATTTTAGCGTCATTCCAGTTTACAAACCAAACCAGCAGATGGCGGTAATGCTTCAAAGACTTGAATGCCAACCGCCAAAGAAATCCGAAGAAGAAGAAGGTTTTTTTTTTTTTTTTTTTTTTTTTTTTTTTCCGACGACACTTGAAAGCACCATCAGCATACGTCACGGCGGCGGAGCTGCGGAGGAATTCAGACAAAGTTGAGCAAAGTTTACCTGCTCGAAGGAGGAGCTGCGAGGTGTTTGTCAAGAGGGATTAACGGTAAGTATCACCTGCCTTGATAAGTTTCTCTCCGCGTTTCCCTCCCAGTTTGGGTGGTGTCGTTAACTAGTTGACAGGAAGCGGAACTAACCAACTAACAAGCTAGCAGCGTTAGCCGAGTTAGTCCGGTGGATTGTTCCCGGACAACTTCTGGACGATGTGAGTAAACCCCAGCGCAGTTTCTCTTCTTACTTCTTCTTCTCAAAGTTCCCGACGAGTTCACAACTTTGGGTGACCTCTGGGTTAAACTGGGTGACTGGCTCGGTTGATTAGTATTTTACTGGTTGGATGTCAGGTGATCAGAGAGTTTCACCTGGTTGTGTCTCAGGTGATCAGAGAGTTTCACCTGGTTGTGTCTCAGGTGATCAGAGGTCGTCAGAGAGCTCAGGTTGTTTCCCCACGTGACACACTTTGTGTCAGGTGCGTGGATTCTGCATTTCATGCAGCAGCTGAAATAATTTCCCAGCTAAGAACAATGTTTGGGCTCGTCATTGATTAAACCATGAAAACCAAAAGTTTCCACTGGGCATTTCATGGATTAGTTGTATGATTTTCAGCATCGGGTCTTTAATCCCGTGTCTGAAACTAATAGTGCTGCTCTTCTTGAAAAAGGCGGGCACACAACAACAACAACAACAAACAACAACAACAACAACAGCTGGGCGGTGAACAAGTTTGAATTCAGGAGACTGGTGTGGGAAAGGCGTCACTCTTCAGGTGTGGAGGAACAGGTTTGGGTTGAAGAACCAGAAATGTTTCCCAGATGGAAGTTCTTGTTTTTGCCTCTTTGTGTTGTTCATGTGAACTTTACCATGAATGAAGACGTCTCTTTATTTTGACTTCAAATTCAACAGCTGTCACATTTATTACAGTTCTTACTTCAACTGGACTGCATGAAAACAAGAAGGTGTTTTTCTAAAGATCAATTTTAATGTTGTTGGGAAAAGTTGAACATTTTCTATGATTAATGATATCTTGCTACACGCTTTTTATCATCTGAGGTTTCTTCTCCATCTGATTTACTGCCATTCATAATGTATGTGACGGTTCAGCGTCCTAACATCACTTGTGTTGTGACTTGGCGCTATATGACTGAACTGAATCGACTTTAATTCTATTGAATTTGATTCCACTCGTTTGCTGAACATCAGCTGAACATTTGTTTTCTTCTTCTTTCGGCTGCTCCTTCTTCACGAGTCCCCACAGTGAACTAACTCGCACAAAGACTTGGTTATTTTTACACCGGACGTCCTTCCTGACGAAACCAGACACCGAGCTACCACAGCCTCTGTGTGGTGCAGAGAGCCGACGTCCAGAGTGCCCGGGGGAGCACCTGGTGGGGGTTTAGGGTCTTGCTCAAGGGTCCAGAGTGGGACAAATGAGGGTGGAGGCAGGTGTGGGGGCTTCACCTTTCCCACCCACATTTACAACAAGGTTCCTTTAATATTTAAGCAACTGAGCAACAACTCATACCTCATCGATTTAATCCAATGACATGATTTAATCTTTGAACACATCAGTCATAACTGGACACCCTGGAGGGTTCGTAGGCGGTGCACTCGGTTCTGTTGACAGGGCGGGGCGCCCTCCTTGGATAATGGTAGGAGAACCACTGACATTTATTTTTCTGCTGAAGATGATGATGGTTTAGAAGTTTTCCATGGAAGGTGGCAGGTGATTGGAAGAAGAAATCCTCAGCCGTTAATTATTAGGTTCTGTATTTTTCCATTATGCTTTCTCTGAACTTTAGTAAAGCACATTCATATTTTACTTTAAATCAAAGTAACTTGAGAGAACAGAAAACTAGAGATAGTTCACAGTAAGTGGTTGCTCATAATGACCAGCTGCTGCTTGGTCTTCTAGCTGCAGCTGACAACTTCTGTTTCCTGAGACAGGACGTCTGAACGTTGCTCTCAACACAGTCTACAGAGAGCTCTCACAATGATCTGGTGCTCAGAGAGGATCGGCAGCAGATTGATGCTCTGAGAGCATCGGCAGCAGATTGATGCTCTGAGAGCATCGGCAGCAGATTGATGCTCTGAGA